AGTTTTGTGGTTTTCCTCATATTGATCTTGTACAGATTTTGTTAGATTTATATTTAAGTATTTCATTTTGAGGGGTGTTAATGTAAATGGTATTGTGTTTTTAATTTCAAATTCCACTTGTTCATTGTTGGTATATAGGAAAGCAATTGATTTTTGTATTATTAACTTTGTATCCTGCAACCTTTCTATAATCACTTATTAGTTCCAGGAATTTTTTGTTGATTCTTTCGGATTTTCTACATAGACAATCATGTCATACTTTTTATTTTTTGCCAATCCAATGGGTGTAAAATGGTATCTACGTTGATTTCCATATTTTGTGTATTATTGACCTTTTTTTCCTCTGTTTATAAGCTTTATCCATTTTTCTGTTGGGTTGTCTTTTTCTTTTTGATATGTAGGAGGTAATTATAAATTCAGAATGACTTTTTTCAGTTTGTACATGTTTTCTCCCAGTCTGTTAGGTTATCTTTTCAACTTTTTTATGGTGTAGAAGTTTTACATTTTAATGTGTCAAATCTATCTTTTCCTTGATGGTGTGTGCTCTTTATGTTTTATCTTAAATTTTACTCCAACCTGAGATCATAAAGATACTCTTCTATACTATCTTTTGACAGTTTTAAAATGTTGCCTCCTCATTAAGCCATTAATCTCTCTGGCATTGATTTTTGTGAATGGCATTGATCTAATTTTACTTTCCTTTTCTCCCATATGAATAATCAATTTTCTTTTTATGATTCACTGAATAGGCCATTCTTTCTCACTGATCAGTAATATTACCTCTGTCATATGCCTCAAATTTGTAGCAGCTCTTTATATAAAAGAAATTAGGCCTTTGTCATGTATTCAAATGATGTTTTTCTTTTCTTTTTTTTTCTTTCCTATACCAACACCTTGTTTTTTTTGCTTATCTTGAAGATCTTTCTATATCAACACATAAAAAACTTCTCTCTCTCTCTGTCTCAAATACACACATACACACACACAATTTCAAGGTATGTATATAGCATGATTTATTTTAATCGGTTACTTATTGATTAACACTATTTCCAATCTTTTGCTACAACGAATGTTTTTGAGCATACACAGTTTCACACTATTGCTGAGACAAAGAGTATGTTCATTTAAACTTAGGATATTTTCAGCCAAATTGTCCTCCAAGAAAGTTTTAACAATTTGTATCCCCATCAGTACTGTATAGCTGTGCTTGTTTCTCCACTCTTTACAATACAGCGTGTTATTAAGCTTTTTGATTTTTGCCAATCTGGAGAAAAATGGTACCTCGTTATGGTATTAATTTACATTTCTCTTAGTATGAATGCCACTGAGTATCTTTCCATATGTTTGAACTATTTGTACTTCCTTTGCTAAGAGCTGTTCACATCCTTCAACCGCATTTTATTAGATTGTTGGTCTATTGATTTGTAGGAGCTCTTTATGTAAAGGAAGTTAGTCTTTTGTCACTTGTTTTACAAATGATGCTTTTCTTTCTTTTTTTTTGCCATAGAGAAATTATTTATTTATTTGTTTGTTTATTTATTTATTGTGAGGAAGATTAGCCCTGAGCCAATCTGTTGCCAATCTTCCTCTTTTTGCTGAGGGAGATAGGCCGTGGGCTAACATTCTTGCCCATCTTCCTCTACTTTCTATGGGATGCCGCCACAGCATGGCTTCATAAGCAGCGTGTCGGTCTGTGCCTGGGATCCAAACCTGCGAACCCCAGGCCACCGAAGCAGAGCACATGAACTTAACTGCTATGTCACCGGGCCAGCCCCGTAATTTTTTATTTTTATTTAGTTGATTTTATCAATCTTTTCTTTTATGGCTTCTGGATTCTGTATTATGTTGGTCATGTGAAAAACCCTACAATTTGGATATTATAAAAGAATTTCTCCTTATTTTCCCTAGCTATTTTATTTTATTTTGGTGAGGCAGATTGGCCATGAGCTAACATCTGTTGCCAATCTTCCTCTTTTTGCTGAGGAAGATTGGCCCTGAGCTAATATCTGTTCCCATCTTCCTCTATTTTATATATGGGATGCTGCCACAGCATGGCCTAATGAGCAGTGTGCATGTACGCACCTGGGATCCAAACTTGCGAACCCCAGACCGCCAAAGTGGAGTGTATGAACTTAACCACTATGCTACCGGGCCGGCCCCTTTCCCCAGCAATTTTAATGTTTCTTTCTTTTCGTTTTGCTTTGTTTTAAATTGTTATTTATCTGACTTATTTATGTGTAAAGTATAAGGTAGGAACCCAATATTATTATTTTTTCCAAGTGGAAAAAATACGAGTGAACATAGTTAGATCAATATGATTTGCTGAATGAGCCATCTTTTCTCCATTTGATGCTCAGAATCCCTGGTATGGGACTGAAAAAGGCAGATTAATCAAGACAGAATTTTATTTTATTTTATTTTTATTTTTTTTTAAAGATTTTATTTATTTTATTTTTTTTCCCCCCAAAGCCCCAGTGGATAGTTGTATGTCGTAGCTGCACATCCTTCTAGTTGCTGTATGTGGGACTCGGCCTCAGGATGAACGGAGAAGTGGTGCCTCGATGCGCACCCGGGATCCGAACCCGGGCCACCAGCATCGCAGCGCGCGCACTTAACCGCCAAGCCACAGGGCCGGCCCGTCAAGACAGAATTTTAAAAGGGCAGTACCATAGAAGGCCAATGGATAAGAGAATTGAGGCTAATGGTTGAAATTCTGATCTCTTGGGGTTTAGATCAGCTAGAAAAGCAGTGAAGTCAGAAGGGGACTCATAGCTTATGGAGAATACAGAGCAGCTGAGAGACTGGAGATCTGGCTAAGGTCAGAGTTGATAGGTTAGGAGGTAGGATTTGGGAATATAATACTTCACAGGTGAAGCACGTCCAGGAGATAACAAAGTGTGGGTTATGAGCATGGTAGTGGATTGCTGAAGTGGGGTGAGGATGCAGGTCACTGGAGGTAAAGATTCTGGAAAGTACAAGTGTATATGGCCTTTGAAGTCAACCATGATTATGATGGCTTGGGACTGAAAGTAAGGCTGTTAGATGTCAAAGCCTTCAGGGAATGAGGGGACTGCCTAGGAAGTCAGTAGATTAGGGCACTGTGAAAGAGTAAAGGAAAGACATGAATCTTAAAGGAGGTGTTTTTATATGAGGACATGTAAGTAATAATCTCAAAATAGCAAAAGAGTCTGCTTTTTTCCCCATGACTTGTGGTTATTTGGAGGTATGGGAGAAAGAGCCTTCGAAAAGGCCTTAGAAGAAAAGCCAAGCTTCATTTAAGGCTTTATCTATAAGAAGGGGATAAAGTTTTATGCAAGGAACTTCAGTAAATATTTATTGTGTTCAGAGGCTGTGCTAGGCACTTGCTGGGCACTGAGGATGGAGTCGTGAAGTGAATAGATGAAGTCCTCACCCTCATGTAGCTCACCGTCTGGTGTCTTGCAACTCAAAACATAGTCCACAGACCATCGGTAGCAGCATCATTTGAGAGCTTAGTAGAAATGCATAACGTCAGGCCTCAACTCAGATATACTAAATCAGAATCTGCAGTTTAACGAGATGCCCAGGTGATTTGAATGCACGTTAAAGTTTGGGAAGCAACTAGTCAAGACTTGACTGAGCCAAGTTTTAAACTAGACATGTTGGAAAGTAGAGTGTGTTATAGACATCTACCAGCATCAGCATCTCCTTCCTCTTAGTAGCCACTTTAGTTCAAAGAGACCCTGCCCCTTCTGGTTATAATTGATCAGGGAGCACCTGACACCAGCTTGACCAATCAGCATTCCTTTCCCAGGTATTTGAAAATGGTAAGGAAAGAGTGATTCTCTTTCTGTTGGTTGGACCACTTAATGAGTAAACTCAAGTAAGTTACAGTGGCCATATTCTGGAAAGCAGAAAAAACTCAAAGGCAAAGAGAGAGAACAATGAAGCAGATGTACGGAGAAAAGCAGAAATGGAGAGAAAATGCTGCTTAAATTCCTGATAGCCTTCCTGTTCCCAATCATTGTCCAATGTATCTCTGTGTTAACACTCCCATATGGTTTATTTAAGCTAATACGATTCAGTGGTTGTTATTGGGAACCAGAGTTCTACTCAACAGAGCACATAAGGGTGAATTTAGAAGGCTCAGAGCAAAGAGAAAAGGGTGGTCTTGCTTTGTAAGTGTGTTGGTTGATGGAGGCTGTTGAGGGACTTGAAGACCTGGAGCAGGAGGTGGCCCACAGCAGGGTGGGGTAGCTCTGTGTGGAGAGAGGACAGAAGTCTTCCAGAGCTCACTGCACACATGACACATGACAAGCACTTACTGATCCCTCACATTGTCTCATTTGATCCCTGCAACAATTCAGCGAGGGAGCTGGTGCTAGCCCCATTTCAGAGAAGGAAAGCGAACTTCAGAGAGATTAAGTAACTTGTTCATGGCTGCCAGGAAGTGCAAGGCAGTCATGAATTGGACCCAGCTGTGCCAGACTCCAAAGGCCTCCATCTTAACTACTTAAGCACCTCACCTCTATCATAGGCGCTCAATGCAGGTTACACAGCATACCCATGGAACTTTTGAAAAATACAACCGTCCTCCACTCCCATAGATTCCGCCTGGGGCCCGGGTAGAGTATGTTGCAAAAGCACCGCCAGGTGATTCTGCTTTGCACTTACGGACGGTAGGGAACTGCTCCCTCATGCAGTCCTTCTTGGTCAGGGAGTCCTAAGCCTGTCTGTGCATCAGAATCGTTGGGAAGTGGTAATAATACAGAGTCTGGGGCCCAGACTCAGGTTTACAGAAGCGGTATTTGGGGCTAGGGCCCCAGAATCCGAATGTTCAAAGACTGACTTGAGACTTGCTGCTCCTCACAGGCCTTCCCGCCGGTCGGCCAGTTCAAGCGGTAATCCTGGGGCGCTCCGCCAGGGGGTGCAGGGGCGCCAAGAGCTGCTTCCGGGTGAGGCGAAGAGAAGCGGCCGGAGGAGCGGGCGGGGCGGGGCGTGACCCGGAAGCCGAAGGCGGGTTCAGCCCTTCGCGCCGGGGAGGCAGGCTGGGACCGGCGCACGGGACGCAGCCGCCTTTCGCGCCCTCCCGGCCGACATCATGCTCCAGTTCCTGGTGAGTGGAGCTGCCGAGGAGCGGGCTGGGGGCTCGGCTCAGGTCTCGGGACCCCGCAGTCCCCGCGCCTGCTCGTCGCCTCGCCGCTCGGGGTGAGCTGCGGGGTTTTGTGTCTGCCGTGCCCGCATCCCTTTGGTAGTGTTTTTCTGCAGCCATTCAAGTCCCCAAAACTTTGAGGTGTTGGACGGAGCGTGCACTTTCAGAGCTCCTTGTCGTTTGCCGTGCCCTGCGGGCACCGTGTCATCTCGGGTTAAAGTCTCGGGGTCCTTAGTGACTTTTCATAACCGTCCCCCCTTCAGCCCTTCCGGCCCCCGGCGTAGACACGTCCTCATCCTGACTTAGAGCCCTGCTGGTTGGCGGGTTTGAGGACCTAGGAGGGCGGGGAGGCCAGGAATAAACTCTAGATTAGTAAACCGCCTCACGAGGCGCAGACACAGGGTCGGAGTCAGAGGCTTAAGGAGAGGCTCGTCAGAGCTTTTATAGCTTCCAGACTGTGAGGGTGGCTGGCTGCTGGCATGAGTCAGACCCTGGTCTACAAGTAATTTTTCCCGAATGCTCGTTTTGGGGAAAAATGAGTGTTGCCGTGAGTAAACGAATTATTTCTCATGGCTCTTTATTTCAGTTAAAAACGGGTGTTCTGGCAAAACTCAGTGTATTTCAGATTGCCTGGTGGAGGTTTCAGGAGGTCTTGCCAGTCAAATTTCCAAGTGAAAGTCTTTCTTCCAAGCTTTTGTGCCTTCGAAACTTGGTGCTTTCAATCTCTAATTCTGATGAGAAGCAGGTATTCTGGTATCATCTGTGTGGCCAGTGGAAATCTGGTGCTCTGGGCATGAGATGCTTTCCCAATGTTATATTCTTTATCAAAGAGATTAAAGAAGAAAAAGAATGCCCGTTTTGTCCTTTTTGAGATGGTAATTGATTTTTAATTCTTTAGACCAAAAGGGGGTATCCTTGACATAAGCTGCCCAACTAGACAGGGTGGCTGCTCTGCCTCTGGAAGTTTCTCCAGTGTCCTAGCTAGGTGTTAGCTTAGGAGTCAACAGAAATAATTACTGTCATTTAGTTGTAGGAAATACTCAGCGTAAAAACAATAGCCGTTAGCCCAAAAGTGTAAGATGATATAATTGGCCGCCTACTCCAGCTATGGCTCATTGATTAACTGGGAGAACATTGATTCAATTATAGTACTTTGTGAGGGCTTTTGTAGAGTGAGTTTATTTGGTTTTGGAATAAACTTTTGCTGGGTATAAATATGGGTGTGACTGATTTGAGAATTCAGAATTCTCAGTATGTAAGGACAAATGCTGAAGCCATTCATTAAATTCCTAGCTCAGAAGGAACTGGAACACCGGGTGTTCTCTTGCGGTCTGTTCTCCCTCCTCCTCATTGCACTTGTGAAAAGAAGTGGATAGCATTATTTTTCACCTTGATTCTGCGTCTGTCAAATGATTCACTAACTCTGTGAATTGGGCAGATCTTTCTTTTTGCCTTCAGGCATTTCGTCTATAAAACAATGGGGTCGAAGTAGATGATCCTTAAATTCTCTTCTAGCTTTTAACCTGTGACATCATGTCCTAGTGCTTAAGGGCTTCAGTTTCCACATCTGAGAATGGGAGCCTACCTCTTGGTTTTGTTGTGAGGAATAAAAATGAGTTAATACATTAGAGTACTTAATGACACTTAAAAAGGAAACAAGACACAGATATTGTTCAGTTTCTCTTTTACAAGATATCAGTTGAACTCTGATTTAGTTTCTTCTCAGAAATGGGGATTAGTTTATCCGCAGAAGGGTAGGTGAGGGGAAGAGTTTTGGAAGTGATGGAACAGTCACAAGTTAAACGTGTGCCCTGTCATCACACATTTTGGAACCTTCTGGGATGTTTCCTGCAGTTGTCATTTCCTGGAACACTATTTGAGAACCACTGCACCCGATTGTGTTGCTTATATATTCATTGGTCCTTATATTAAAATATTCACCATCATCCCAACCTCGAAAACTTGTGCCTGTGGTCCTGCTGCCTCTTTTCCCCTTCCTCTCACTGCAGTAGCTTCCGTAATTGCAGTAAGCTTTAGCTGCAGTTGTTGTAAGGAAACTTTTGAAGCTTTTGATGGGAAGCCTGACGTGATGGCGCTGCGGGGGGGCTTTGTGTACAGTGCTGTGGTACTGTGACTGGGGTCGCATGTCGCTTTTCTTACCTCTTGAAGTGGCAGCGCTTGGTACCCTTCTTTAATCCCTCCTCCCTTGGCCTTGGGATCCCGCGTCTCAGTACTTGCTAATGTTCTTTCACATGATAACACACAGGGAATTATTTTTACGGAAGAACCTGCGCAGAGTGAAGGTGACTGGCTCTGGGTGCTGGCCGCTCCCAGGGCTGAAGAGATCAGTATCTTGGTGCACCAGTTGGGAAATGACACTATGTAATCTCTCCTGTTTGTACTGGCTGCTTTTCCATTTTGGTTTCTGGTTGTTTCTCAAGACTCAGTCCTTGACTCTCTCCTCTTCTCTTCAAACCCACCCTTAGGAGGTGTATGCCTTGTCATGCCGTCGTGTTCACCTCTTTGCTAACAGCTTCCAAAACTACCCTGAGTCCTTTTCTCTGAGTTTTCTGTTGCCTGTCATCAACTGCCTACTGAACATCTCCTGTCACACCGTCTATCTCAGACCCAACACGTCTGGACTCATTACCTCTTCCCTTCCTCACCCTGTAACCCACATCCCAACACCTAACTTCTTTCTCTGTTCCCTGGCTCTGGCTTTCTCCATTTGAAATACTGACGTACCTTTAATTTTTTCTCTTCTTCATTCTCCATATCATTTAGCTCCTATGTGCCTGGCACATATATTTACTTGCTATGTAATCTTTGGCAAGTTACTTAACTGCTCTGTGCCTCAGTTTCCCCAACATAAACTGGACAGTAACAGTACCTGCTTTATAAGGTTTTGAAGAGCATGAGTTAATTCATGAAAGAGAGTTAGAATGCTACCTTGCACATAGTAAGCACTCAGTAAATATTAACTGCTGTTTTAAACCATCAAGTCTTCGTTACTCACCTATGAAAAGTTCTGACTTTATGTTCCCACTGCCAAGTTCATAGAGCAGGTCTTTTTCACTCCACCCTTGGACTGGCTACACTAGCTCAGCTGGTGTAGATATGACAGGTTTTGAGTTGGAAGAGTTATTTTAGGTTCTCTAGTCCAGCTAACATGCTGATGCTTCAGTCTCCACTACTAAGGGGACATCCAGTTTATGCTCGGTCACCTCAAGTTACAGAAGGCTCACTATTTCCTCAGGTAACCTCTTTCACTTTTGGTCAATATCTCCTTACCTAGATATTATACCTAGAACTATAATACCTAGAACTACTTGTCTAGTTCTAATCCTTGATGTTAAAGAGCAGTTCTAATCCACATGACAACCCTTTATGTATTTGACGAGCATTATCTTGGTACCTCTCTCTATCTCCCTACCCCTATGAATCTCTTATTTAGGCTAAACATCTCTACTTCTTCCACCCATTCTTCATGATTTTAGGTTCATGCTGGTTACCCTTGTCTGAATATTCTAGTTTGTGAATCCTTTTTTAAAATGTGCCACTCCCATTATAGTCTGATCAGCCAGAGAAAAGCAAGACGGTTGCCTCTATGTGTTTCCCTCGATGACCTTAGTTTTGTCTTGTCTTGCAGCCACCAGAGTAATCCTCCAGGATTAATTGCCTTATTTGCATGCTTAGAAACTGTCAGTGGTCCCTGTGTCCTTCCATATCAAATCCTAACCACTTTTACTTGATGTTCAAGGTTTGCTAATCTGGCCCTATTTTCCTTTCCCCCTGCCCTTCAACATATACCCTCTGTTTTCGACTGCCCGGGCTAATCTTAGTGATCCAGACCAACCTGTGGACCTTCTTGCCTTCACACCTTCATACCTTCTCACATGGTTTTCCCTTTATCCTCCTTTTTGCCTTACCAGCTACTCTTAAGGCCCAGCTCCCATCTTTTTCCACGAGCCTTCTTGATGATTTTAAGCTCCTTTAGGTCTTACATGTCTTTCATCAGTGTTTTATTGTCTTCTCAGTAACAGTCTTGTACCTTCTTTGTTATATTTATTCCTAGGTACTTTTTAGTGTAGTTGTTGTGAGTGGCATCCTTTTTAAAATTATGTTTTCAAATTCTTTGTTGCTGATGTATAGAAATGCTAATAATTTTGGTGTATTGATTTTGCATCCGGTAATCTTGCCAATCTTTTATCTCTAGTAGTTTGTAGGTTCACTTGGAAGTGAATCAGTGGAGGCAGTACTGTGTATCTCCAGTGAAGGCAAAAATGACAAATTTTGTGTTCTTTTCCAATTTCTCTCTCTCTCTCTCAAGTTAAGACTTCAAGTAGTGAGAGTGGATATCCTAGTTTTGTTTCTGCTTTTAGTGGAAATGCTTCTCAGGTTTTAGTATGGTATTTGTGTATCTGATATTTTCTAACAGATTAAGGAGATTCTCTCTTATTTCTAGTTTGAGTTTTTATTGTGATTGGTTGTTGAATTTTATCATGCTCTTTCCCCATCTGGTGATCATATGATTTTTCTCCTTTAATATGTTAATACGAGTAATGTTAGATTTCTAACACAAAGCACTTAAACCATGTGGCCCATTCAGACCATCATTTGGTGATGAGTCCCAAGCACGTGGTACTTAGTCAATACTTTGTGATTGATTTCATTTATTTAATTAGATATTCCTCTTTTGCCTAATTACTACTGTCAGATATTCGTAAGATATTTGAATATTTGAATCAGCTTCCTTGAGAACAGGCAAACCAGTTCTATCTGATGTACCTCTTTCTGGAGTGTTACTGGCTAACTTTTTCATGAATGTCCCTATCCAGTTTACTGGCTCAATTGAAGAATTAACAGTTTGTTTTCTTTCTTCATTCTCTAAGGAAAATTAGTGAATATAAAACCTAGCTTACATTTTAGAAATGTGTTTCTCTGTGGTGGTAGTAGAAGGGATA